CCAAGCACTCCTGCTGAGTCCCTCATCCAAAGGGAACTGATAAAAAGATAGAACAGATGTAGGACTGAAGTGTCCAGCTGGAAATGGACAAAGCCAGTATTGGCTAAATCATTGAGTGCATAAACTATTGTAGACAGAAATCAAGTTTCAAGGCAAAATCTTAAAGTGATTTTTTTTTTTTTCCTTATTGGTAAAGTATTTTTGGGAGAGTGATGGAAGTCTTCTTGGGTAAATATTACAGAATCCAGGATGCAGAGATGGTGATTTATTATTTCACCACCCTCTGAAGGATAATCTACAAAGATCTGCTTTGCTTCCTATCTTTATAAACAAAGATTTCCATAGCACTTTGTGCCCTTCCCGATTTTGGATAGAACTGTGACTGGTTTCTACTCTGGGAGAAATTTATCCCCAAAAATATTGATGTTTCTTGACACCAATATGGATGCTGAAAGAATTCCTGTGTTGTCCCAGACTTTTCCTGTAGGGTTTGCCATTCCCCTCGTTTTAACACCAATGCTAAAAATAGTTTGATATATTGTGAATTCAAACTGTGATGACATTCCCTCACCCACCATTCAGTCCAGAGATTTCCTCCTGTCACGCCACTCAATTTCTGCTCCGCGGAGAAATTCCATCATTTGAAAGCTGAACATTTATTTACAAGCAAGCAAAGAAGAAAAGTCTTGGTGCAAGAGAATGAATAAAAGTTTCATAGGAAAGGCGTTGGAACAGGAGGAAAATTCTAAAGCATTAAGTTTTCATAGCATAGTAAAGTTCTTGCACAAGCACCTAATTTGAGCTTTAATTTATGTAAATAGGCTGGATACTTCTGCTGGTTTAGCTGAGAGTTCTTTGGGGGGTGGGGGGAAGTGTCCTTTTTGTTTGTTTGTTTTTGCTTTGCTATCCTTTATATTTTACACTGGGGTAGAGGACTAAGGCCAGATTGAGCCGTTGCAGAACCATTTTATTTATTTTATTACTTTTATTTCATGCCTGTCTACTTGCATTGCTATAAAATACCACACTTGTTTTTTTGCTGACAATCTATTTTTTTTACTCAGTTGCCTTCAAACTTGCCCCTGAGTGTTTTACCCAATTACCACTTTGCAGTATTGGTGTTTTCTCCCTTTCTTATGCTTCTCTGTTTTTTTGGCAGTCCTCAGGTATAACTATTTTTTCTCTCCCCATGTGATTGCAACCAACAGCACAGACACTCTCCACCCTTCCCTATTTTTCTATCTTTCATATCACTACAATTCCTTTGGGGGAGTTTCCTACAGCCTAAATCTGTTATATTTTCTTTCAAAATGTTGTCTTCTTCACCCCTCCATCACTTTATTCGTGGTGAAAACCTCTTCCATGATTTCAGGTGTTCTTTCCCACAAGTCTTTGGAAGTCTTGTATTTGTCACTGCTCTCCTTTAACAGAGAAAAGGATTTTATTCCTTCCTTTCTCCTTTTTAGCAAGTGCCTGTAAACGCTGAATTGTCTGAATTCAGTGTTTGTTTCCAGGGATGTTTTTTTTGTACAGGATCTTCTCTTTCAAGTCATGCAGTTGTTTTCTATATAAAATGAAAGAGTAAAGGGATGTTAGGAAAAAATGGCCAGTTTAAAAAAATGTGATTATTAGTTCTTTGAGTGTGAAAATAATGCCATGGACTTACATCCACTTAATTTTTAGTGGTAAGCTACTATCTACTTGTTGTTAATAAGTAAATATTTACCACCATTACTTGTTTGTAATAGCCACAATTTATAGGAAGCATGTTATATATGGTCTCTAGTACCAAGCTGTTATACTATGATGTGTTGTGGGTTCTTTTTTGGGTGTTTTGTTGGAGGTTTTTTACATCAATTCAATATATTGTTAAATAATTTCAAATCAGTTCTTCACTTGTCTGCTGATCGGGATAGTTATTTAATATCTACTTCAACATATTCTCTATCAGACCCATGCTGGAATTCTTCGAGAAATGTTGGATAATATACAAGACACTGGATGTTTTATTCTGTTATACCAGTGGGAAAGAAATAATTATTTTTTTACATCTCATTCAGTAACTATTAATCTACTGTTGAATAATAATTTTAATTTTAATTTCTTGAATATATTTATTAATTTACCTCCTGCTAATATGCTGCTTTAGATGCCACTATTTTGAATTTATTTCTGTACTTAAGTATCATTTGCATAATGGCATTAAGAGGTCCACTCCTGAGTGTTTGGTGGTGGGATGTTGGACAGAGTGGATAGGTTGTAATTAGTGGCATCTGACCTTCAACTTCATTAATATGCAAATAGAAATACCACAGGGTGCAAAAGCATGGTGCTATTAAAACAGTCCCTTCTGTGTTTGTCAGATATTTCAGTCTTGGTGGCTTGGTTTTTATTTCTTTCATATAATATTATATTATTTTATATAATAATTTACCCTTCTAGAGGTGTATATATGAAATTATACATGTAGAGGAGCAAAGGATTGCTCACACTAAAGGGGAAAATTAAGTGTGCACATAGATAGTTCTTTGGTTGTTTTTTTTTTTTATATGACTTTTCTTTCCCTAATAACCAGATATATCTGAAACATATTCAAAGATAAGAAAATGGATATTATAAGTTTTGTTGTAGAACTACCATGACGGACTTTCTAACAGGGTTTTATAGGAGAAAGGCAGGCAATGTCTGCCATTGTTTTGTTCAGTTTCTCCTGCTGCAGCTCAAGAAAAAGGATTCAAAAATATTTTTTTTCTCAGCATTATTTTGGGGATTTCTCTTCTCCATCTCCTTATACACTGTACATAAATAAGCCACACATCACAGAATCCCAGGATGGGTCAGGCTGGAAGGGCCCACAGTGGCTCATCTGGTCCCACTTCCCTGCTCCAGCAGGGCCATCCCAGAGCACATGGCACAGGAGTGTGTCCAGATGGTTCTGGAATATCCCAGTGAGGGAGACTCCACACCCTCCCTGTGCAACCTGTTCAGGGCTGGGTCACTGCACAGCAAAGTTCTTCCTCCTGTCCAGGGGGAACTTCCCGGGCATCAGTTCCTACCTGTTCCCTCTTGTCCTGCTGGTTGCTTTTGATGCCTGGGAAGAATTTAAATTAATCAACTAAGCTAATATGTTAAGTATTTAATTTTTCTTCAAACCAAGGTTCTTAATTGTTTAGCCTACTCACTTATTTTTCAGACAGCCTCTTTACTTTGAGGAGACAGCTTTGACTCCCTTATAGGTACTTTATGGGGCAGGGCATCAAAAGCAGTGTGGCAGCAGGTTGAGAGAGGTGATTCTGCCCCTTTGCCTCACTCAGGTGAGACCCCCCTGCAGAGCTACCTCCAGCCCTGGGGAACAGGAAGGACATGGAACTGCTGGACAGAGTCCAGAGGAGGCCACAAAATTGGCAAGGGGGACTGAAGCACCTCCCATATGGAGACAGGATGGAAATGCTGAGGTTGATTGGTCTGGCAAAGAGAAGGTTGTGTGGAGACCTCACAGCACCTTCCAGTGTCTGAAAGGACCTGTCAAAGGTTCTTCATCAGGAACTGGAGTGACAGGACAAGATGTAATGACTTCAAACTGGAAGAGAGAAATTTAGGTTACACATACAGAAGAAATTGTTGGCTGTGAGGGGGTGAGGCCCTGGCACAGGTTGCCCAGAGAAGCTGTGGCTGCCCCATCCCTGGAAGTGTCCAAGGCCAGGTTGGACGGGGCTTGGAGCAACCTGGGCTAGTGGGAGGTGTCCCTGCCCATGGCAGGGGGTGGGACTGGATGAGCTTTAAGGTCCCTTCTGACCCAAACCATTCCGTGATTCTATGATAATAAAATTGTGCCATTCTTCAACATTTCCTCTCCCTTGAGTACTTCATCTGTTATGAGCTTATTTAAATGCTGGAGAGGTGTCAAAAAAGTTTTGGGTTTCATTTTAATGAGTCTATTTTTGGAGGGTTAAATGACACATTCACATCCATTCCAGGCACATGCATCAATCAGCTGTATAAATCACACTGCCAAAGCTCACCCTTCTCTGTGGGCACAGAAGAGTCACAACAAGTCCTTTTGGATCAATAAGCAACTTCTCCCTGGAAACTCTCCTCTCTCAAGTGGGTACAGCTAAATTGCTGCTGTGTGGCTGTACCCACATCAGCCTGACAGAAAGCAAAGCTTGGAAAGTAAGCAAGAGACTGCACAGCCAGAGGGTGATCATGTGTTTGCTCCCTGGAAACAATATTATTAGTGTTTAGAACATCCTAACTCGCTCAGCCCTTGCTGAGTGCACTTGCTCTTTGGCATGATCAGAAAAGGTGTATTTAATTGTTATTCAAAGAAGCAGAATTGCTGTGCCTGCTCTTCCAGGCAGGATCAGCACCGTGTGATGAGCAAGGAGGGTTTCACTTCTCTCACATGTGAAGGGACACTCAGACCATCCCTGGTCTGCATGTGGGATTTTCCCTTCTGCTCTTCTACTACTGAAGTAGCTGTAGTTTAAATTAGTTTTAAATTAAAGAGGTGTAAAGTTGTGTGAGGAGAAAGATGAGACTTAGAAAAAAAAATCCCATATTTCTGCTAATAACTGAGATTCTTTGGAATTCTGCATCCTGTGTGACATCCACCTGCCTGCATCACCGAGGAGCAGCAACGAGCTTAGTGGTTCTTTTAGCTTTGACAGCTCCCTCACCTCTTCCTTCAGATTGTTTTGCCTTCTTTATGGAATTATTGATGTAGATGTGCTAAGAGGGGATAATTTGCTTTAGCAACTGGTTGTAGTTTAGGGGATGTTTTGTTACATGGCACTTCCACTGGGAATTCCCCAAGTGATCACATAGCTGAGACCTAGAATTAAAATTAAAATACTAATGGAGGGATCTGATGGACCAGCTCAAATGAGAGATAGTAGGAATTGATTTCCTTACACTTGCCAGATAAGAAGTCTTTGGATTAAAGGGTTTTGGCATCCCATGATTGCAGATATTTCCCGACACATTTTATACCCAAAACATCCCTATGCATCTTATAAAGTCACGGTATTTGATCAATGCCAATTCTGTGCTTTCACCTGTAAAACAGAAGTGAAACTGGATAATCTGTGGTGAATAGTTCCCATGAAATCCAGTTCCCAAACTGGCTGGGAGAACTTTCATTTCTGAGCTCCTCTGCTTTTCACTTACATGAAAAGCCAATTATTTGGAAGTTATGCTGGGGAAATGGAATGTCTGCAAGATCAGAGACTATATTTTCAATGCAGTTACTTCATGCTTCATTGCATAAAGGATATACAGATTTTCTTAAGACTTTTTCTGTCACTTCATGCCAGCTATCCATTTCTACAACACAGAATACGAAAATATAGAGCAAAGCTGAAACTGTCATTTATGTGATGATTTATTTCCAGGAAATCTTTATATTCTATAAATGCTTTTTGATTTTTTTTTTAATTTAACCTTGCACATGTCAAACCCAAAGAATTACAAAACCAGCATCCAAAATTCACAGTTACAATCTAGAGTGTCTAATTATTCTGAATATTTAATTCTTTTGAACAATATGCTTCAGAAGGATCATTATCACACTGAATTCCCCAGCATTATCTATTATTTACACGAGTGGCTATTCGTGCCAATGTAACCTCTGGCATGGTAGATGGGATGGTAAATCCAAAGCATATGTGCCCTTTTGGAAGCAGATGGCAGAGCAGTGCCAGCTCAGACACTCTCTGAATTCTCTAGTGGCCTTTACAAAGTTCATAATTATTGAAGAGATTATTGTAGCATTTCTTTTTCAGAAAAGGTCAATAAAGCTAATAAAAAAATATACATACAAGTAGAAACAGAAAAACACTTTTTTTTATATTGTTGTTTTTACACATAAACAAGATTCCTATCTTTTTCTCAACTCAATAGTAAATTCCAGTTGCCTTCAGTTTTGCCAGGATTTCATTCAAGGGCTGTGTGCAGAGTCCAGAGAGTGGATTTATGCTTAGAAAAAACGTTATTCTTTTGAATTCAAAGAATTTTAAATTTACATTTGGAAGATTCTAAATACATGTAGAGTTCTTATTTTTTTGAAGCATATTCTGATATATTGAGAGAAACAAATGATAGTTTTAAAACTGTTCAGACTTAGTCTGTGTCTGGTTTTATCTTATGGCACTGGCAGATTTCTCATTAGTAACTAGAGCTAGGTAACCAGTAAAACTCTGTTTTACATCATTAGACATACTTTAGATCACAGATATTGTTTAAATTATTTTTAAATTAACTACGAGCAAGGCAGTGTGTGGAGTAAGATGAAGTAGTAACAAAATTAACGGGTTTGTTCTCCATCCCTGGGAATTGGGAAACTTCCTTTTGCTTACCCATGCCTTTGATTCATGTAATGTAATTGCAGAAGTCAAGCAGAATTTTCTAAAACCTTGAATAAACTTTCTGTTACAGTCTAAGCTTTCTCTAAGCATCTTGGCAGGTCACAACGAGTGGACCCGTAAATCACGGAATCACAGAACGGTCTGGAAAGATCATCTCATTCTTTATATTCTGTGTATGCCACAGGCAGGGACACCTTCTACTAGACCTGGAAAATATGAAAGTACAGTTTAGAGTTTCTTTTCCAGTGTGTCCTGTTCAGGAGCAGGTTGCCTAGATGGTCCTTCTTGTTGGGGATAATGCTCTTCCACACCGGGCACGTTCGCTTCCTCAGCTCAGCCAGGAACGCTAAGGATGAGCGAGACCGAGGGAGTCATCCAGTGCCCAGGGAGTCTAACAGTGTGTTTGGGAAAGGAGGGCAAAATAATAAAGCTAAATTTCAAGTTTTAAGAGGAGAACCGTTAAAAAAAAAAAAAATCAGAATTTGTGTCTGTGACAACTGTTTGAACGGCCAAATTCCCGAGCCAATCCCGACTGGCACTAAGCTTCCCATCAGTAACTCCGGGTGTAGTCTGTTTTGCTAATGGGACTTGTGACAGACTTTGGGTCTGTTCATTAGCAGACAGTTTCCTGCCTTTGATGATGTTTTTTCCTGTAGCAGTCTCCATTGATTTCGGTAGGAACTTCAGCACATGCAGATCAATGACAGGATCTGCACTGGGGATGGAGTGGCAGAAAACAACAGTAAGGAATTTATAGTGGCCTGGGCCACTCCCAGCAAGTTTCTTATGCATTTTGAAATTGCAGAGGCTTTAGAAAACAAAAGAAATAATTTCCTTTGAGAAAGCCATAATTATTTGCTTTGGGAGCCACGAGAAAGAAGCAGTGAAGGAAGAAATGGTTTATAGATTCCTTTCCTCAAACTAACATAACAAATTTTCCTGAGAAGAAGAAAGATGTCCCTGATTTTCTGCAGTGTGTTATTTTTAAAGGGCATCCCAGAATTGTTTTCTGTTTCCTAACAGTTGGCAATGAAGGCTTGTGGTAATTTTGCAGTAATTTTACTTTGAACATCTGCCGTAAATGCCTCTACTGGACATAAAAATTTCTGTTGTGAAGGGATTGCTGTATGCATTAGACCAACTTAGGAACACTGATCCCTGCAAAACAGTTTCCCAAACTAAGAGAATAAAATGATTGGTGTTATCTGGAGCTGAACCAATATAATAATGACACTTCTATCTGCCCTCTGTAACAGTGTTGGGTTTTTTGTACCATAAATTCCCTATATGTTTTTTGGAAAGCAGGTGTTTTCTGTCTTGTAAAAACATCTCTATCTCCATGTGTTTTAACTCAGCTTAGAAAAATATTTTAGAGATTAACCCCAATACCACTTTCTGTGTGTAACTGCAGTTACATTATGATAGAACTATTTAAAATGGAGGTGTGAAGCTCTAAATCTGCACTTCTACTGTATCATCTCTAAAGAAAATACTAATGTGGGATCTTCTGAGGAATAAATTCATTCTCTTTTCAACTTTGCACCAGTCGATGCTTTTCTGGTAATACGAATGTGATTCTTGGGGTTGTCCTGTGCAGGGCCAGAAGCTGGATTTCAATGATCCTGGTGGGTCCCTTCCAACTCAGGTTATTCTATGATTCTATGAAATTTAATTTTAAAAGTCTTTCTTTAGTTTTCCATTTTCATGTTTACCTTCCATGCACAGAATCACATATTTAATCAAAACTCCCATTGAAATCACAGTTGCCATTCACAAAAAGTAGTTCTTTGTCACAAACACGGGAGGGACAGGTATTAAAAACAGCTTCTCTTGAGCAGGTCATTTGTGGGTTGCATAATCAACCACACCTGGCCTCAATTTAAAGGCTAGATGCAAGTTTGTTAAGATAATTCAGAAGCAGATTTAAGAAATACCTAAGTAGTGCATTTACAGAGAGTATTTATGCCACAGCAACCTGAGGTTCCAGTTTCCTGCCTATCTGCTGCATTAAAGTAACTGCACAGAGGGGGGGAAATTATTAAATAACCTTTTCTTTGCTGTGCAAAGTTTGGATTCCATCTTCTATGTGGATGTGTCCCTGAAGCAGCAGAATAAATCAAGTACAGATAACTCTGGTAATCCAAGAAGGCTTTTCATTAGCTCTTCTTGTTGTTAATAGAATATCTAGTTTTTCCAAAGAGGTTACATTGCAAGTCTCATGTGAACAATTGCTAAGTGACACTGCTCTTGACACGAAGTATTTCACCCTGACTGGCACCAGGGGGTTTTCAAACACACCTTATAGCACTGTCAAGCTATCTAAGAGATCATTTTTCTGGCCAAGAATACAGCAGGACTTCTGTCATTTCTGTGAGACCTGTAAGTGAAGGTGCCTGAAAGAAAACTACATCCTCCAGAAGTGAATATTTGGGAAAGTCAATCCATTTGGTGTTGCTTTTAGGGTCAAAGCCATTTGATGTAGGTGGATTCTTTGCTTCAAATGTGTTTCTTTTTCATTTCATTTGGGGAAACGCATCCAAGTGTGTGAGTGCTCATTGTGGGGGGATGAAAAATTCCTGATAGTTGCCTGCTTACATTTCAAACTGCAATTGGTTTTCTTAATTATGAGTTAGAATCATGTAAAGCCTGAGGTATCACCCAGCTCTGTTTCACTCAGCCATCACTTGAGTGATAACTAAGACACATTTGGTTCTACAGCTCTAACAAAATAAAATATTACTGTTTGTGTTAATTGTAGCTTTGGGGTGGTTTTGCAGTTGTTTGTCATTATTACTGTCCTAAAACACATATGGTGTTTCTGCACAGACAGAAACATTTGGGGGATGTTTTAGTTGCAAATGGAATAGTGTGGGTGTAGAGCAGGTCTGGCTGTGCTGCCTGGTTTGGCCACGGTCCAGCACCTGCATTCCTGGTCCAGCTCTGCCTCCCCAGCTCGGAGAGCTGAAAGCATTTGGACAAAGAAGAAGGAATAGCCCAACAATTAATACTGAAAAGTTGCTGTGAGCAACAATCAGGGCAGAGTCAACAGCTTTTTCCTGAACCTGGGTAGAGCAAAACTGACCTGAACGGCTGGAAAGACCTGAGGAATGTCAGGAACTGAGTAATCACCAAAGTACTATTATATAATTGTTCTATTAACTAAACTGTCATTTATTTTTAATTGATGGTGATTAACTTCCTATATCTCTTTGGGACAAGTATGTGGGACTAGTTCCTGCATGCTCCTAAACTTGTACTCATTAGATGTCAAAACTATACCCTAAACTGCTCTTCTGTGTATACACATTTACGTTCCTGTGTATGACTTCATAAAGTACAGATAAAATTGCATTTTTTAAATGTTTTGCACAAAGAAAATATTGTATATACAGTATTTACAGGTGGGGAAAGAGATGATGTTAATTAGAAAGCAAATGAATAAAATTTATTTTAAATATCTGGCTTCAAAAGCCAGGAAGGTTCTAAATTAATATTAGAATCATTTTGAGGATATACCAGATATCAAGGCTAAGAAGATATCTTACCAAAAATAATTTTATTTGTGATGGCGAGGAAAAGGAAAAGAAGAAGAAATTGTATTTTTTGTTCAGAAGAGAAGCGTGATGTCCTCATATTCAGGAAAAGTAGCCTTGAGGATACAAGGGAAGTTTGAAAAAAATATAAAAAATAAACCTCTGACATCTTAAACTACAATTAATAAAATTTTCCCTGCATATTTTCTGATTCGAAAGTTAGAAGAAATACCTAAAAATCCCACTATCATCTGACATGTTTGATAATGAGAATGTTCATGCTAAGGACCAGCACATCCACACTAAGATTAAACACCTAAGGCCATTGCAGTGAGTGTCAGAGGCTGGTGTATGGCAACAAAATGGCAAATAATACCAACAATATCAAAAGGCCTGCATCAAAATGCATCTAAGACCTTGTTAGGCTCAGTCAGATCCTGAGCTCTGATAAAATGCAGGTCTAGGATCAGGTAAGGCACGTTTCTGTCCTACTGAAGTCCCTGACAGAGGCTGGGGACTCTTCCCTGGTGTAACAACGCTGGTCCTGTGAAGCTCCGTGAGGCTTTGCTGGGGAGCAAAGCACTGTGAACCATGGCTTTGGCACTGACTGAGGAGAGGGAGACACCAGAAGAAAACTGAAGCTGTTCAAACGTGACACAGCTCAATAATTTATAAATTACCATCTCTGTAACCTTCATTAGGCAATGAAATTCATAACAATAATGCTTTTCATCTCAGATGGTTCATTTGTCTTCAGGAGGGCTGGCACTGGCGTCACAAGGCAGACTCCTGAACTGCTCCTGTCTGTCCTCTGCTCCTGTTTAAATCCTCCTAATTCCTTGTCTAACTTCCATCATCTGGCAGTGTAAGTTCCATCTCTGTTGCTCAGCAGAAATTATTTATTTTACTGGCACATGGTATATCATCTGTCACACCTAAGGAGAGGAAAGATCTTCCTCCAGCGTCTTTTCTGCTTTTTAATCTTTCTATGGAAAGCTCCAACTTTCCCTTATTTTAAAGCGTTTCTTTAAAGCTGAAGGGTTCTTCTTTCCCCCCCACCACCACACTGGGTGCACAGGAGCCTTTTTGTGTGCTTTATGTAGCACTAGAAGTTCATCACACAATAGTTTTTCAAGTGTTAAATACAGTTACTAATATCCAAGCTGAGTATTTGCACATGAAAAACAGACAAGTTCAAATTTTTCTAGACTTCTACTGGAAATTAAAATCAAATTATTTTAGATGTATAACATATTAGAGGCAACCCAGACTTTCTACTGACAGCATGAACCTTAGTAGCATTTTGCTAATGAACATATTTCAGTGAGTTTGAAAACACGTTTTATTGCCTTTGTCTTCACTAAATGAATGGAGGATTATTCTGTCTGAGGGCAAAAGGTTTCTCAGAGATCTATTTAACTTTTTGGTGGAATTTTAAGTGAAAATCTACTTTCCATAGTAGAATTTTCTCCATAATACTGTTAAAATTTCCTATAACTGCCAGACTCTGTTCTGTAATAACGTTGTTTTGGCCACTGTGACGTTAAAGACATAAATATATTCGGGATATAACTAAGTACTATCATGCAAATTGTACTAACTTACTGGGCAAGTTAAGTTGAAGTTTGGTTGGATTTTCCTATCCCCTTGTGTGTTCCATTTCTCCCTGTGATTCTTCCTTTAAGTTGCTAATACTCTGGGAATTGTTGTTTCTATTTGATGAAATATTAGCCTGGGTAAACCACTTGTAGTATTTTATAATTTAAGAGTGCTAAATATAGATCAGAGGCTTTGTATGATCTTCATCTTTGCTGGAATTTTGTTTTTATAACTTTTATTTCCCAACACACAAATTGCTGGAAAACATTATCCAATCTAAAGGAAAATGTAAAAGATGGATATAGAAACAAAATGCTCAAATTCTGGTTCAATACCACCAGGAGCTAAAAGGTATCTTCCTTTGTCTAAGCTGATTGAAAAGTAATATAAACCCTCAACTTTTCAGAAGTTGAAATAACTCTAACAAGACACAGTAACGCAGATGTTTGAGTAGTTCATTTAATAAAATATGAATGAGGCATATTTTAAAAACCAGGTTTAAAAAACAGTACAAACCTTAGTTTATAGTTGCAGTTACTCACAGTGGACTAGATTTTTCCACTCACTGTTTTACTTTTTAACACACGTGTAAAATCTCAGACAAATGAGCAAATGATAAAACAACTGGAAAATAAATTTAAAAATCATTTATATTCATTGATATTTGATAAAATTTTATCCTTACCCAATTTTGGCCAAGTGTGTTGATACAATTGCTCTATTTTATGTAACTTTCTCTTTTCACTTCTAATTTTGTATGACTTAAGTTTGAAACTGAAGTCAAGCACATTGTTACTGTGGATTGCAGAAATGGTTTGTGATGTAGTGATTTCACAAAGAGTTCAGTCATTCCCAGGGTGAAAATCTGTGACTGAGGACAGTGTGGCAAAATCCCTGGTTATTTAAGCATATTCTGCTTTCTGTTGACATCCCTAAGTACAAAGTACAGTGCACTAATTGTGTCCCACATGCTCCTACTATCCAGGCTAAGTGTAAGTACTCAAAAAAAAATTTTCAGATCCTTTTCCTCTAAGAAATTGAATCAGCAGTGCTTATCCAGATCAAAAAGTGAATGTGAGCAAGCATTGTACTTGTTAATTCTGCACAAACAGAAATAAAATAGCCCATAGACTAAAGAAGGGCTTTTATCCCAGTCTTTAAAAAAACACTACAGAAATGTGAGGAGAAGTGAACTACCACCAGAAGTTCCCCTCCTTCATGAAATTTTACAGTTTCATGAGACATTGTGATAAGGTTGATCTGGTGAATCTATGGTTTAAAAAAAATAACAGAGGGAAACAGGTTGCCCAGAGAAGCTGTGGCTGCCCCATCCCTGCAAGTGTCCAAGGCCAGGTTGGACGGGGTTTGGAGCAACCTGGGCTAGTGGAAGGTGTCCCTGCCCATGGCAGGGGGTGGAATGAGATGGTTTTTAAGATCCCTCCCAACCCAAACCGTCCTGTGATTCTATGATAAATATTTTGCTGAATAAGTAATGGCCACCTGAGACTGCACTTAAGTTTAGCTTCCTTTGGCATCTCATTTCAAGAGAAGGGACTGCTGGAATTTTAGGGAAAGAACATATCATACCTAGGGTCATGTTTTCCCTGTTTCCACAAAATGTGGGTGTCTTGTACAAAATCTTGCACACAGATATCTATGTTTGATAGCTAATACTAAATCTATGTCCTTTGAACTTCTGTAATCCCTCTTTGAACCTGTATAACCCTTTATCTCCATACCTGCACGTAGCAAATCCATTGGTTGCATGAGAGAGTGTTCTGCTTTAAGCCTGATGGTTTCACTGAACAAACCCAGGTTCCTGTGTTTGCAGAAAGAATGCACATCCATTTGGTTTTTGCGTGCCTAGGAATTTTCAGGTCTCCTTTCCCAGTGTTTTCTTTAGGAAGGGGAAATTATGTAACCTACTTAATTTCCCCTTACACTGAATCTCTTCCGCATTTCCACTGATTGTATTTGTCTGTACCTATTCGAGTTCTCTATTCCTGTTTGACAGCCATGAAAATAAAGGGAAGGTCACTCAGCAATTCAGTGGCAGAGCCAAGCAGAGTGTAGATTTTGAAACCATTCTTCTTTAAGTGCATTATATGTTTGGGAGAAATGCAAAGTAAGCATCAGTTGGGGTTTTGCCTGCAGTCTTCAACCTGTAAATATGCCCTGCTGGGGTAGATTAGGATCTCTAATGTGTATTCTGATCACTGAAGTAGACACACATTTCACCAGGATTTGGGTTTTCTGAGAGTTGGCATCTGGTTACTCAGTGAGAAAACAAAGCAAAGTTAGAATACCTCCAGGAGTATCAGCAACATCTGCTGAACTGAGACGGATACACAGCCCAGGTTAAAATTCACAAGGTGCCCTACTATAAATAGCAAGGCACCTTTCAAAGATTATTATTTACACTGGCCTAATATTTTTCTTGGTGATATACTATGTTCTGTAAAGTAATGGCATAGTACAAAGCAAAATTAAATAAAAGAAGTAACAGTGCCTTTAAGGAAAAGCAGATTGCAGAGTAAATCACAAGCACCAAAGGAATATGTTTTGAGAGGACTGCATTGAGATGAACTCTTTTAACTGTACTACTTATGTATTTTCTCAGAAGATATAAACAAACAATAAAGCAGGAGCCTTCTGGAAGCCATAAACTGAATTAATAGCAATAACCCATGCAGTGTTTATTCATCTGAGTGAATGCCTAGAATGAGCACATCTCATATCTCTGGGACAACAAGCCTTGCAGTTTCGAGATGTTCACAAGAGGAAATGCAAAAAGCATACCTTAACAAACTTCAGATTACTGAACCCTCCAAGAGTCAGCATGAAGGGAGCTAAAAAGAGTGTGGTGGCAATTTCCCTCTGGGAGGAATCTTCATCCGCATGGAATTTTGGCAGTGGGACTGACAGTTGCAGCGCAGGGCTGAAAAAAGCAAACAACAGCCCTTCTCCCCAGCAAAGAAAGCCTGCAACCTTTGGCTCTCTGGTGCACTTGGTGGGCCAGCCTGGGCACTCCACGGGCAGCAAGAGCTTTCTGTCCTGGCACCTTTGGTCTGGGAGGAATCTTCGTCCGTAGGCAATTTTGGGCGTCCGACGGCCAATTTCAGCCTGGCGCTCCTGCCAGCGAACGACAGCCTTTCCACCCAGGAAAGAAAGCCCTGACCCTCCATCTCTTGTGTGCAGTGAGTGCTCCAATCTCGGCAGCAAGAGCTTTCTGGGCAGGCACCTTTGTTCTGGGAAGAATCTTCGTCCACACTGAATCCAAGCAATCGGACAGGCTAACCCTAACCCAAACCCTAACCCTATCCCTGACCTTAACCCCAACCCTAAGCCTAATCATAACCCAAACCCTAAACCCTAAACCTAACCCTAATCATAACTAAACCTAAGCCTAACCCTAAGACTAAACCCTAATCCTAACCATAACCATACCCCTAACCCTAAAACAAGCCGTAACTCTAACCGTAACCCTAAACCTAACTCTAACCCTGACCATAATCATAACTAAATCTAAATCTCACCCTAAACTTAACCCTGATTCAAAACCCCAAACTTAACCCTAACGACTGCCCTTCCTCCGAGGAAAGAAAGCCCTGACCCTCCACCTCTCATGTGCAGTTGGTGCACTGCTCCCAGCACTACCTGGACAGCAAGAGCTTCCTGGGCAGGCACCTCTGGTCTGGGAGGAATCTTCGTCCGTATGGAATTTTGGGAGTGGGACTGGCAGTTGCAGCGCAGAGCTGACAAAAAAGCAAACAACAGCCCTTCTCCCCAACAGAGAAAGCCTGCAACCTTTGGATCTCTGGTGCACTTGCAGGGCCAGCCTGGGCACTCCACAGGCAGAAAGACCTTTCTGGGCAGGCACCTTTGCTCTGGGAAGAATCTTTGTTCAGATGGAATTTTGGGAGTGCGAACGGTACTTACAGCACAAGGCTGAAAAAAGCAAACAACCCTTCTCCCCAGGACAGAAAGCCTGTCAGATTTGGCTTTCAGGTGCAGTTGGTGGGGCAGCCTGGGCACTCCGTGGGCAGCCAGAGCTTTCTGTGCTGGCACCTTTTCCCTGGGAGGAATCTTCATTTGGATCGGGTTTGGGGGGGCGGGGGGCGGCAATTGCAGCGCAGGGCTGAAGCAAGGGGACAGCAGCCCTTTGCCCCAGGACAGAAAGCCTGGGAGCTTTGGCTTTCAGCTGCAGTTGGTGGGGCAGCCTGGGTGGTCCGTGGCAAGGAAGAGATTTCTATTCTGGCACCTTTTGTCTGGTAGGAATCTTCGTCCTTATGGAATTTTGGAATTGGTACTTGTAGTTACTATAGAAGACTGAAAAAAGCAAACAACAGCCCTTATGCCCAGGGAAGTAAGCCTGGAAGCTTTGGCTTTCAGGTGCAGGTGGTTGGCCAGCCTGGGCACTCCATGGGCAGCAAGAGCTTTCTGTTTTGGCACCTTTTTTCTGAGTGGAATCCTCATCCATAATCAATTTTGGGAGCCGGACTGCCTATTTTGGCTCTATGATTCCTCTAAGTGCACGAAAGCCCTTTTCCACCAGAAAGAAAGCGTTTTCCTTCATGGTTTCAGGTGCAGTTTGTAGGTCCTCCTGGGCACTCCATGGGCAGCAAGAGCTTTCTGTCCTGGCACATTTTTTTTTCTGAGAGGAATCTTTGTCCATATGGAATTTTGCGAGTCGAACTGGCCCTATTGGCACTTGGGGTTTTTTTCTGCTTTTCCCTGTTTATTAGTGCATACCAGCAAGTAAAACAATATGAAACAACACAGCAAGAATAGAAAATCTCTTCAGTTGTTGTAGGAAGGTCTTTCATTTAAAGTCAGCCAGTGCTTCTAGGTGCATGTCATCCTGACAGACCTCTTATTTTGTGTCTTGCAGTGAGACAGATAATATCACAGCCTGCCATAAAAGTAAGGCAATCAGGGGCAACAAAGGACCAAAATATGGGACTTAGATTATTGATGCATTTAGAAAACACCTTTTTTTCCTGTTACTGTGAAGGTGAAATGGTTAAGTTTCATAGGGAAGGAGCATCATGGACTTACCTCCGTGCCATGTATCTCCCTGGCTGCTGTAGTAGCCAGTGTTTTGATTGTCATTATTGCAAATAAAAGTGTGAAAATACTTATTAAATTAACAGTAGCATGGAAAAGGGATTTCATTCAAGGAAACAACATTGCATTATTTGCCCACTTGTCCTTACTCTTCTGTTATTATGATGTTTTGGGTATTAATACATTCCTCTTTACAGCTCCAACTCCCTCATTATGCACAACGCCCAAAAAGACCCTTTTTGTGCAGGTTTTGCCAGGTGGGGCTGCTCAAGCTTTTTTCACTGTTATCCAGCAACTTGCAAACCCAAAGCCAAGCTTAACTTTGCTGCTATTCCCAAATGCTCAGGGTATTTACATTATTTCACACTCCTGGGCACCTCAGGAAGGTGGATTCTGCCTGCTGATGTGATTTCAACTTCACACTCCAAGGTGGGGGTTTTGGTGCAGCACATCCAAGTCAAACTGAGCAGGAGCATTTCAGTCTATATGAACCTGCTGCTGTTTAATTAAGTGGAGTATGGAATTAGGGTTGAGAGGAATCAGACCTTTATATATCACAGTAACTTGCATTGTCAGTGGTCTTTGATTTAAAATAAAATAAAAGGCAAATTTTTTCTTTTTTTTTTTGGCCTGCTTCAGAGTATGAATTTTGCAGGTTTCAGGTGGTTGTAGAATTAATTTCCTGGTTTCTCCAATCTGTCAAATCCCCTCAGATTGAAATCCAAGGGGAAAAGTGTGATTTTTACTTAAATCACCACCTTGATAGAGGTGTTCATCTTCTGCCATGATACATTCTCCACATTCAGTCCTGGAGAAGGTCACCAAACATGAAGAAACATGAAAACAGGACTTTGATTTAATTGAGAACTTCTGCATGGAGAATAGTCAGTTAAAAATAGGTGGGGTTAGTGCATTTTATTTGATTTAATGCATTTTAATTGATTTTACCCCAAACTAATCACTAGAAGACTGATTCTAGATTGCCACAAAACCAAAAAAAAGTAAATTTTTAATAACATTATACTCTGTAGCCCAACATTATTTATAGATTATGCATAACTATTCATGCAACTTAGGTCTCACTTATCTGTTGTATTTAGAAGAATAATACACAGTTTACTCTGAAATTTGTTTTTCAGCATCTAGGAGACCAAAAATAAACAAAACAAAAAGATGCCAAGGGCTTGAAAATGAAAAATATTCCTTTGGGTGAATCCAAATATATGAAATCAGAGGCCTTCAGAGATTCATGCTGCCTTAGTTTCTCAGGACTAACTATGAGAGAACTTCCTTTTCTTTGTAGTTGGATATGTGTGTTCCTCTTTATTACAAGTCAAATTTTGAGATTAGTTCTAGGCTTGGACACAAATTTAGGAGAAGATAAATTTTGCATATTGAATCAGTAAGTATATTTCCTGGAAAGCATTTTCTCATTTTAATATGTTCCTGTCCTTCAGGAATATATTCTCCCATGCACAGGAGAATTATTCTTCGTAACTGTCTCATGACAGAGAAATAGCAGATCTGAGATTATAGTCTCCTGAAACCAGAGCTTTGCCTAAACCAGCAAGTCTGACTGAGGGCTTTCATGTCTAAATTAACTTATAATGACCCTTTTCCCTAATGATTGTCTCGTTAGTGGGTTGAGCCAGTTTGCAGTTGACTCTGTCAGACCTTAAAGATACGTCAGAAGTCCCTGAGCTGCCTTCATGTCTCATTTGTGCTGGTAGAAAGCTGGAATCACTCTGTCAAAGCCAGCGGAACTGTGCAGATGCAGAGATATTAAATAAAAAAACAGGTTTTCCATCTTTAAAAGTCAGTTACTAAAATCATAAGAATGTGTGTTTGCATATATCTGCAAATTAAGATGGGTTGTAGTTGGTAACAGACACTTACAACTGAATGACAATCAACTCTTTGGACACCTCACAAAATTAAATTAATTTGAAACATCTTGCCTGAAAAATTTAAAAGCGAACCCCTATTTATCTTTCATGTTGTGAGCTATTTAAAAATATTACATGTTTAAAAATATATTAAAAATATGTTTTCATGAAGTCCACTCCACCCAAGCATAGGGTGCCACATTTTTAATCCTTTTAAGAATTCATTATTTCTACAAAATCACTTCTGCCTGATTTATCCCATGAAGAGGTATCAACAGCAATTGCTATGATTAAAAACATGAAGGAAAGGGAGCTAGCATAGCAATATTCACAAGTAATATCTCCCATTACCTCTTCAGTGGCCTACTGTGCTTTGTCACTGAGCAGAACTTGGGAAGTGAAGCAAATCCATAACCCTTGTCCAACAAAACTGAAGGAGGGGGATAACCAACTGCCTCAATTCACTGTGAGAAATGTGAGATCTGGGGCTATAAGCCATATCTTTTTTTTCTCTAAAATTTGATGATGTTAGGGGGAAAAAAGTGCCATGGCAACCCGGAGTAGTTTAGAGATCTGAAAGAAGCATATGGTGGGTGCAGATTTCGTACAGTAAAACTCATAAATCCCAAATTACTCATAAATACCTAATTGTGTGTAATAGCAACCAAGGGGGCTCTTCTCAGGGATCACAAAAAACTCAGTAATTATGTTTTGGTTGCTAATAGCTTAAAACAATGTTACATTCACCAATGTTTTTTTAAGAGAGGTGTGTGTTATGTTATTTATCCCCTCTCTTTGGAGGATACATCAATGCTGATCACTGTAACAGAGTGCAAATAATGAACGTGGAATTCAGCAAGTTATTCAAAAGACAAATAGAAGTGCACACAGCCAGGAAAGGGATTAGGATTTCCTGAATTTCTCTTGATAATCAGGAGTTTAATGATCACAGCTGGTCTTCTCAGATATAAACTTTCATTTGTGCAATATATTTCTGGCCCCTTTCTTACTGTCTTCTGACAAAGAAGGTGCTGACAAATTTTAGGGCAAGGAAAGCAATTTAGTCCATAGAACACTGGGCTAATGAGCTATTAAAGCATTTTCTGCCAGCTTTGGAGAGATGATGAAAAAGTAATTCAAAATAGAATAAGTGATATGGAAATGTGTTAATTTACCTAGGGGGGTATTTATTTCTTTCCTTATCTCCACCCTATGTCAGTTTTGATTGGCAGCTTAAACAAAGTTGGACCAGCACTGCCCAAGGCAAGTGCGTGACAAATGAGAATAATTTCAAAAAAGAAATCAGAGAATCACAGAATGGCTTAGGCTGGAATGGACCTCAAAGCTCATCTCGTTCCACCCCCTGCCATGGGCAGGGACACCTTCCACTAGCCCAGGTTGCTCCAAGTCCCATCCAACCTGGCCTTGGACACTTCCAGGGATGGGGCAGCCACAGCTTCTCTGGGCAACCTGTGCCAGGGAAGAATTCCTTCCCACTATCCCATCTAACCCTGCCCTCTGGCAGTGGGAAGCCATTCCCCCTTGTCCTATCACTCCAGGCCCTTGTCAAGAGTCTCTCTCCATCTTTCTTGCAGGCTCCTTCAGGCACTGGAAGGCCACAATCAGGTCACCCCAAAGCTTCTCTTCTCCAGGCTGAACAATCCCAACTCTGTCAGCCTTCCCTCCCAGCAGAGCTGTGTCACCTGCACTGCTCAGCTTGGTGTTGTCTGCAAATAAAACAGTGAAGAGTGGACATTTGGGTTTGTTGCTTGTTTTAAATCCTTCACCTACACAATGTTTTCCCAGTTTGAGTCAAGAATAAAGAACAAATGATCCTCAGTGTCCATTATCA